GTCCCATCGGTCATCGCCCTGGCATGCGCCAGGCAAAGGGGAACCGACCGAGGAGCAGCGGATGTTGCGGCCTTTTTTGCCGCTGACGATATCGCGCACTCGAAGGTCCGGCTGACGCAAGACCTGCTCAGATCTCGCTGTGAGATTAGCTTGCATATAACGCGCACCGTGAATGGACTCCAATTGCAGGGCTTGATCGATACCCCTATTCCGTTAATTTCCTATCTGCTAGAAGTCAAGGGTGGTGAATCACGAATGGCTCACCCGAACGCATAAAATTCTGCACACGTGCGACACGTTGCGCTGTCCACCACCATGACGACGGCGTCTTTGTGGCTCGGCGGCGAGGAGCAGCAGGGGCAGCAGGACAAGCGCCCTTCCCTGCAGTCTGCGAGATCCAACGTCCCTGAATGACAATGACAAGAGGTCCAAATTGAGAAGACTAACGGGCGAGTACAGTCAAGAGTTAGAGTAGCTGTTTGCGCGCGTTGATGCGATGCAGACTTCCACGCTAAGACACGCATCCGTACATGGGAACGCGCGGCAAAACACCTTCTGCAGCATGCAGCAGCATATATGCTCATCCTTTAGCATGACGTGCGTGCGCGCGCTGCTCGCGTCGTCCTCGCCATCTCTTGACCGTATCCACCGCGACTTCCATCCAACGGAGCTGCATCGACGGGCCGCGCTGTCCAATGCGTGCCGAAAAGCAGACCAGACCCACTTCTCGCACTAGCATCTTACGCTCGACCGCATTCGAGGCACCGCAATGCGCCGGCCGGCCACTTTCGTCTCATCCCACTTAGACTGGGACTCCAGCGCTCACGCTGTCCTGCCTCGTGCTCACGCTCACGGAAGGGCACAGCATCAGCGACTTTCTGAGAATCACCATCATCGGCCCGCGGTGCCCTGTGGGGCATATGGTAAGGCCGTCTGTGGGGCCTTTGGCGGCAAGGAGGCATCATCAAAAAGTCTGCACTCGACACACCTGACTTACACGCAACCGAGCCAAAATGACAGCTGCAGACAGGCTCGGTTGCTGCGGAGGGGGAGAACGAGGCGCGAATGAGCCCTGCAGCTACGCGTGTGTACAGTAACAGCGCCTGGCAGCCAACTGACGAACACCGCAAGCAGCTTGGCATTCACAAAACATGACGGTTTCGTTGTTGATCAGCAACATGGATCGCAAAAGGCGATGCGACCTTATCGCGCTCGGTGCTTGGCAATTGCACCGCGCCGAA